AATATTCATGTAAGAATAGACAAATATCTTGTAGAAAGGAATTTATTGATAACACGAATGGGTGGATAAGTGAATAGAGGAGGTAGGAAGGAGATTTCATTTGTCGTTTCTTCCCCTCTTCCTTTCTTTAGCGTGGACTTCGTTGACTTGCCCGAAGGAGCCGAGAAGGAGTTCAAGAAGGAACAGCCGCCCATTGTCAAGCTTATGGTCGCCTGCTGGTGAGGTTTCGGATTCTTGTAGAAGGAGAGGGAGAGGGAGAGTGAGGAGGTTGGGGAGAGTGTGTGAGAGTGAGTGAGGGAGGAGAGGGAGGGAGAGAGTGAGGGAGGTTGAGGGAGAGGGAGAGAGAGAGAGAGTGAGGGAGGTTGGGGGAGAGAGAGAGGGAGGGAGGGAGGGAGAGGAGGTTGGGGGAGAAGGAGAAGGAGAGAGGAGAGTGAGGGAGAGGGAGAGAGAGAGTGAGGGAGGTTGGGGGAGAGGGAAAGAGAGAGAGAGTGAGGGAGGTTGGGGAGAGGGAGAGAGAGTAAGGAGGTGGGGAGAGGAGAGAGAGTAAGGGAGGTTGGGGGAGAGGAAGAGGGAGAGAGAGAGAAAGAGTGAGTGAGAGTGAGGGAGGTTGGGGGAGAGGGAGAAAATTTATTTGTTTTGGATGAGTGAGAATGAGAGTGAAAGATACTTAGAGATAGAGAGAAAGCACAGATATCATTAATCATTATCCACCAAATAACTTTTTTTCACCCAGAATACCACATCATGATTAAGAAGGAAGTGGAAGCAAGACCAAAACAATGTGCAACATATCACTCATGTGCCACAACAGCCATATAATCCCCTCTCTACTACATCCTTTCCCTACCAATGATAACAAATAAGAAAACATGCAAATGAAACAAATAAACAAAGATGAATCAGATAGATAAACCAGATAAGTAAATCAAAAGTAGATCCAATAAATAAACCGATTGATATAAAGAAAAACAAAGGAAAGAAAAACAAAAAAAAGATCTAGGAAGTAAATCAAAAAGTATATACAATAAACATACCGAATAATATAAAAAAGGAAACAAACAAATGAATGAAATTAGAAAGGAAACTTAAAAAAATTGATGAAATTAGAAAGGAAACTTTAAAGAATAGTTGAAATTAGAAAGGAGACTTAAAAAAATAGATGAAATTAAATAAATAACAAAGGAAACAGAAAAAAATTAGAAGAAATAGAACAAATTAATTAAACAACAAAGAAACTTTAAAAAAATAGATAAAACTAAATAAATATCAAATGAAACAGTAAAAAGAAGAAATAGATGAGTCTAAATAGAAAACACAAAAAATAGGTAAAATTAATTAAATAAAAATGCTTCCAGGTACGCCATGCTCTCCCGCTCTGAACTCGTGTCGTACATCATGATCTTCGTCAACCAGATCAAGTCCGCCAGCCTCCTGTCTCTGCCGCTGCCGTTCATGGTCTTCCTGTGGGGCTCCCTCAGCGTCCCGAGGCCCTCCAAGACCTTCTGGATCACCGTCATCGCCTACACGGAGGTGAGGGAAGGTGGGGGAGTGGGGGATGGAGAGAGAGGAGAGGGGAGGAGATGGGAAGGGGAAGGGGGAGGAGGGAGATGGGGAAGGGGAAGGGGAGGAGGGAGGAGAAGGGAAGGGGGAGGAGGGAGGGGAAGGGGGAAGGGGAGGGAGATGGGGAAGGGGGAATGGGGAAGGGGAGAGGGAGATGGAAGGGGGAGGAGGAGATGGAGAGGGAGAGGAAAGAAATGGGGTGGGGTTGGAGTGGGTGAGGGGGAAAGGGGAAAGGGGAAGGAAAGAGATGGAGAGGGAGAGGGAAAGGAAATGGGGGTGAGGGGGAAGGGGGAGGAGGGAGATGGAGAGGGAGACGGAAAGGAAATGGGGGGTTGGAGGGGGTGAGGGGGAAGTCCGCCAGCCTCCTGTCCTCCCGCTGCCGTTCATGGTCTTCCTGTGGGGCTCCCTCAGCGTCCCGAGGCCCTCCAAGACCTTCTGGATTCACCGTCATCGCCTACACGGAGGTGAGGGAGGGTGGGGAGTGGGGAAGAGAGGGGGAAGGAGGAAGGGGAGAGAGGGAGGGGAGGAGGGAGATGGAGAGGGAAAGGAAATGGGGGGGGGGGTTGGAGAGGGTGAGGGAGAAAGGGGGAGAGGGAAAGGGGAAGGGGGAAGGAAAGAGATGGAGAGGGGGAGGGGAAGGAAATGGGGGGGGTTTGGAGAGGGTGAGGGGGGAGGAGGGACGGGGAGAGAGAGGGAAAGGGGGAGGTGGGAGATGGAGAAGGAGAGGGGTTGGAGGGGGAAGGGAAGGGGAAGGAAGGGGGAGGAGGGAGATGGAGAGAGGGGAGGGAAAGGAAATGGGGAGGTTGGAGAGGTGAGGGGGAAGGAGGGAGAAGGAGGAAATGGGGGAGTTGGTGAAGGAGAGATGGTAGAGGGGGGAAGAGAGGGAATAGGAAAGGGAGATGGAGAGTAATGTATGGAAGGAGATAGAGGAGAGGGAATGAGAGTTGGGGAGAAAGAGGGAGAGGGACAGAGAGATAGAGAAGGGGGGGGGGATGAGAAAGGAGAAAAAGAAGAGTTGGGAATGGAGACAAAATGGCGTTTCTTGGTCTGAGTGGGTTAAGCCGTGGTTCTCCTATTGAGATGTTCCACTTACCTTAAAGGACGCTGGAACCAGACTCAAATGAGGGATAATCACGTGAGGTTGTGAAGATCGGTTTGTCTAGGAAGCAAAAAGTCGAGTAAGTATGCGATTTAAATTTAAATGTCTTACAGCTTCCTTTCCTATGATCTTAGATTCTGAAATAATACAAAAAAAAAGTTTAAAAGTATTGCAATAAATATGGATAGTTCCCTTTCACGTAGTCGTGGTTGTTTGACTGTTTTTCGAATGAAAGAGTGAAGCGAAGAATGATTAACAACAAAAAATAGTCATGCCTTCCACGTGATTGTAAATTATTTTAGAAACCAAAGATACCTGTAAGAAAACCTTCCCTTCCAGGTAATTGTGGTGGTGAAGTACCTGTTCCAGTTCGACTTCTTCCCGTGGAACCAGGTGGCGCGCCTCAAGGCCCCCTTCTGGCCCCCGAGGATCATCGGCGTCGAGAAGAAGGACCGCTATGCCGTGTACGACCTGGCGCTGCTTCTGGTCGTCTTCTTCCACAGGTCGGTGAAGCAGGTCGTGGGTGTTGGGGGAGGGGAAGGGGAAGGGGGAGAGGAGAGAGGGGAGGAGAGGGAAGGGGGATTGGTACAGCTTCAAGGTTTCGTCTAATTGGTTTTAAAAGGGGGCGTTGGTACAATCTGTTGTTGTTCTTTGATGTAAGCACTGATCTGTTCTTTTGTTTTGTCTTCCGTATTGAAGTTGTCAGATTCTCATTGTTCATGTTTTGCATACTTATATGTATATCTAATCTATGTGTTTCCTTAAACTGGAAGATGTGCAAACGAAGATTCTCTTTCCTCGCAGGTTCATGCTGAAGAGCCTGGGCCTGTGGAAGGAGTCCTCGGACACGACGCCCACCGCCAGCGCGCACTCGTCGCCGTCGCGCAGCTCCTCGCAGTCCTCCTTCACGCAGTCCCGCACGTCCTCGTCCGTGCAGCCCATCCCTTGCAGGAAGCCCACGGAATCGTCTGCCTCATGGACCACGTGCAAGGAGGACAGCTCCAACTCGCAGTCCCACTCCGGCGACGGCTCCACGCTCTCCTACACCAAGGACACGTCGCTGCTCTCCAAAGACACGAGGGAGAGCTCCCTGACGTCCAAGGACACGAAGGACAGCTCGCTGAACCTGAAGGAATTGAAGGACGGCTCCCTGTCGTCCAACGTGAGGGACAGCTCCCTGCAGTCGAGCACGAGGGACACGTCGCTGCCGTCGCACACCCGGGAGAGCTCGCTGCCAACCACCACCAAGGAGAGCTCCCTCACCCTGATGGAGCACGAGGAGGAGGAGGAGGAAAACTCGCTCCTGCTCAACGCCAACGACGACTCGCTCCTGTCCCGCGCCTCCGAGCCCCTGCCGGCGTCGTCGCCCCCGAGGCACTACCGCCAGCTGTCGGAGGACGGGCGCGCAGTGCAGACGCGCTTCGACCTGGACATGCCCCGGGCGGGCGCGCGCCACCGCTCGGGCAGCGAGGTCGTGGCCTACCGCCGGACGTGGTCGCCCAGCCAGTCATACGGGCGGCACCCCTCCGTCTGCTCGCAGCCGCCCGGGAGCCTCAACCTGAGGGCCTCGTCCCTGGCGGCGAGGAGGGCGCACCGAAGGCACCTCTCGGAGGGCTCTCGCGTGTCTTTCAACGAGCGGCCGCTCTCCACGTCGTCGCACTGCACGCACCTCTCGCAGTCTCAGTCTCGGAATCCGTCCAGTAACTTTGCGCGGCGTGCAACCTGCAGGCGCGCTCAAGGACTTCCAGAAACCGGACCGGACTTCGAGGAGGTCAAGGAGAACATTCAGCAGCTCCCCAAGTTGGCCAAAGGAGGGTGAGTTTTGGGACGTTATAAGTCTACGTTATATGATATGTTTATCTCGACACAGTATTACTTAATCTTCAATCAGGTCGCTTCACCCCTTACTCAAACTCTAGAAAATAGAATCTTGGAAAGATAGCAAACCCAGTAACCCTATTTGAACCCCCAAAATACCCATCCAATCCACTCATCCATCAATGAAAATAGTCATACCCACCACAAACCAACTCCTTTAAAACAAAACAAAAAAGATGCACACCCTCAGCTCTCTTTCGAAAGCTGTCACTCCCTTCGTTTGAACTTCCAGGGCGGACCACGTCGTTGGGAAAGTCCGCGCCTTCATCACGGCCCCCTCCTTCCGAGTACCAGGTCTCCGTCGACGTCTACGCCTACATGTTCTTCTGCGACTTCTTCAACTTCTTCGTCCTCATCTTCGGCTTTTCGGCTTTTGGTGTAAGTTGGTTGAGGAAGAGAGGGAAGAGAAGAAAGGGAGGAAGGGAGGAAAGGGAGACATGAAGAGAGAGGTGGGGGAAAAGATGAGAGAGACGGGGGGGGGGGAGAGAGAGGGGAGAGGAAGAGAGAGGGGGGGGGAAGAGAGAGAGAGAAGAAGGAGGAGAGAGGAGAGAGAGAAGAAGGGGGGAGAGAAGAGAGAGAGGGAGGAGAGGAGAGAGAGAGGGGGAGAGGAAGAGAGAGAGGGGGCAGAGGGAGAGAAAGAGGGGGAAGGAATAAAGAAAGGGAGAAGAAGAAGAAGGAGAAGCAAAGATAGAGAGAGGTAGAAGGAGAAAGAGAAAGAGAGAGGAAGTGTTAAAGAGAAAGAGAGAGGGAGAGTGAGAGAGAGAAAGAGAGAGAATTCATAACATAAACAAGCAGTGTAGTTACTAAATATCTATTAAGTTTATCAATAATTCTTCCAAAATATTCCCATAGTTATCGAATACATTCATATACCTGCAAAATATATACCTGTATCATATACTATCATACATCTACTAAATATACAATATAAGTATCCTAATAATATTTTACCAGTCAAATCTTGTATAGGGACCTATAACCACATACCTGCCCCAATACACCCACATACCTGCCCAATACACCCACATACCTACCTGCCCAATACACCCACATACTGCCCAATACACCCACATACCTGCCCAATACACCCACATACCTGCCCAATACACCCACATACCTGCCCAATACACCCACATACCTGCCCAATACACCCACATACCTGCCCAATACACCCACATACCTACCCAATATACCCACATACTTACCCAATGTACCTATATATCAACTCAGCATACCCAACTGTCAACCTAACATACCCACGTAGCTACTCACATACCTTCCCAACATACCTACACATCTATCTAACATACCTACTCAACATATCCACTCAAACACCTATATACCCACCCAACATACTCACATATATCTAACCCAACATACCACATACAAACCCAACACCCACATACAAAACCCAACATTACAAACCCAACATACCCACATACAAACCCAACATACCCACATACAAACCCAACATACCCACATACAAACCCAACATACCCACATACAAACCCAACATACCCCACAACCAAACCAACATACCCCACATAACAAACCCAACACCACATACAAACCCAACATACCCACATACAAAACCCAACATACCCACATACAACCCAACATACCCACATACAAGCCCAACATACCCACATACAAAACCCACATTACCCACATACCAAACCCAACATCAACATACCCACATACAAACCCAACATACCCACATACAAGCCCAACATACCCACATACAAGCCCAACATACCCACATACAACCCCAACATACCCACATACAAACCCAACATACCCACATACAACCCCAACATACCCACATACAAACCCAACATCCCACATACAAACCCAACATCCCACATACAAACCCAACATACCCACATACAAACCCAACATACCCACATACAAACCCAACATACCCAGCACATACAAACCCAACATGCCCAACATACATGCCCATACCACATACAAAACCCAACATGCCCAATACAAAACCAACATACCCACATACAAACCAACATGGCCACATACAAACCAAACATGCCCAAACATACAAACCAAACATACCCACATACCCAACATACCCAAATACAAACCCAACATACCCAAATACAAACCAACATACCCACATACAAACCCAACAAACATATACATACAAACCAACATGCCCACATACCAACATGCCCACATACAAACCCAACATACCCACATACAAACCCAACATACCCACATACAAACCCAACATACCCACATACAAACCCAACATGCCCACATACAAACCCAACATGCCCACATACAAACCAAACATACCCACATACAAACCCAACATACCCATACAACCCAACATCCCACTACAAACCCCAACATACCCACATACAAACCCAAACCCAATACAAAACCCAACATACCCACATACAAACCCACATACAAAACAAACCCAACAACCCCACATACAAACCCATCACAATGCCCAACATGCCCACATATCTACCCAACATGCCCACATATCTACCCAAACACCCCACATATCTACCCAACATACCCACTTACGCATACAAACCCACCATGAACCCAACATACCCACATTACAAACCCACCATGCCTACATACAACTCAAACGTACCCACATACCCACATACAAACCCAACATACCCACATACCTACCTAACATACCCACATACAAACCCACCATGCCTACATACATACTCAAACGTACCCACATACCAACCCAACATACCCACATACAAACCCAACATACCCACATACAAACCTAACATACCGACACACAAATCCACCATGCCTACATACATACTCAAACGACGTACCCAACATACCCACCGTACCGATCCAACATACTCCATACCAACCCAACATACCCACATACCAACCCAAACATACCACCCATACCAACCCAACATACCCACATACCAACCAACATACCCACATCATACCCAACATACCCACATACTAACCTTACGCACCCAAAACCCCCAAACCACATTCCCCCAAACACCCATCTCTACCCCCCCAACCCCTCTAATCCGCCCCGCGCCCCACAGACCCAGCAGGGCGACGGGGGCGTGAGTGCCTACCTCGAGGACAACCGAGTGCCAGTGCCATTCCTCGTGATGCTCATCCTCCAGTTCGGCCTCATCATCGTCGACAGGGCGCTGTTTCTCAGGAAGTTCATCCTCGGCAAGCTGATCTTCCAGGTGAGGTGTCTTGGGTGGGGGTGGGGGGGTATGTGGGGGTGGGTGGTGGGTATGTGAGGGTTGGAGTGGGGGTGAGTGGTGAGTGGGTTGGGGAGTGTGTGGGATGAGAGGAAGGGGGAGGTTTTGGGGGTGTATATAATCATACCATCTTCATCTTCATCGGCCTCTTCCTCATCCTCACCACAACTATTTTTATCATTTTTATTTTCATTATAATTATCATCATTTTCATTATAATTATCATCATTTTCATTATAATTATCATCATCATTATCACCATCATCATCATCATCGTTATCATCATCATCATCATCACCATCACCATCATCACCATCACCATCACCATCACCATCACCATCATCCTACTTTCTCGTTGTTGCTTTTGTTATCATTTTACTTCACTTTCGTTATAAAAAATGAATTAAATCACGAAAAACAATAATAAAAAACAACAACGAAGAACAATAATAATTAAAAAAAACTGAAAGAAATGTTAAAATGTCTCCTTTTTACCTCCAGGTCGCCCTCACCTTCGGCATTCATATATGGATGTTCTTCATCTTACCGGCCGTCACGGAGAGGTTAGTCCGGGTGGGAAGGAGAGAGAGAGAGGGGAGACGGAGAGAGAAGGGAGAGGAGAAGGATAGGGAAGGATGGGAGCATGGAAGAGAGGAGGGAGGGAATGGAGAGGAAGGAAGGGAGAAAGGATGAAAAGGGAGGGAGGGGATGGAGAGGAGGGAGGAGAGAGGGAGAGAGAGAGCAGAGAGAAAGAAAAAAGAGAGTGGGTGAGTGAGTGAGTGAGATAGAGTGAGAGAGAGATAAGATAAAAACAGATAGATAGATAGAGAGAAAAAAATAAACAGAAGAACAGAAAAAACAAAACATTCACCAAAACCTACTCACCCCCCCTCTTTCACCCCCCCCTAGGGAGTTCAACGACAAGCACCCCCCGCAGATCTGGTACATGGTCAAATGCCTGAACCTGCTGCTCTCCGCGTACCAGATCCGCTGCGGGTACCCGACCAGGATCCTTGGCAACTTCCTCTGCAAACAGTACAACTACGTCAACCTCTTCGCCTTTCGGATGTGAGTTGTAGATTGTTTGTTTACTTTTTTTAATGGTTGGATTTAAGGATTTGATGTAAGAGATGTCGGTTTAGTATTTAGGAATCGTTTGTTGTTATCTGGGTCTCTTTATCTCTTCTTGTCTATTTTCCTTTACCTCATGGGTCTCTTTTATCTTTTTTGTCTAATGTTTTTACCCGATGGGTCTCTTAGTCAATCATTTGTTTTGTCTTTTCATATTTAGTCAATGGTTTTCTTCGTTTGATTTTTTACCATTCTCAGCACCCAGATCTCTTCGTCTTTTCTCATATTTGTCCCTTCCCAATACCTTCACACCATTAACCACACTACAATCGAATTCAGACGTATCTATTCTACCAATCGCACATACCTATAACCAACCCGAGTCTACCATCATAACTCCCATCATTCTATTAATTGCTTTTCCTATTTAATCCCGCGAGTGCGTCTAACAGTGGCATCATTTTACACAATTCTATTATTATCACCCATTGCCTAACCCGATCGCGGGATATCTCCTCATCCACCATTCTCGTCTTCTTTTCCCATTGTCCCACACCACGCGATCTATCTCCCTATACATACCACCTCCTAATTAATTTCCCTATAACCACGAGCTCTCCCAATCCTCTACCATTTCCCAAATAATTTCCTTTTTCCCATACATTAACACCAACGGAGTCTCCTAACGTCTACCCAATTCCTAAATAATTTTTCCCATTTAAACCCCACGGGTCTCCTCATCTACCCATGTTCTATATTTTTCCCCATATTTAACCCACGGTGTTCCTCATCTTTACCCCATTCTATATTTTTCCCCATCCCTTAACCCACGGTCTCCTCAATTCTACCATTCTATATTTTTTCCCATTTTTTAAACCCAACGCGGAGTCTCCTTCACTTCTACCATTTCTTATATTTTTCCCCCCATTTTAAAAAAACCCCCAACCGTTTTTCTCCTTTCATCTTTAAACCATTCTATTTAATTTTTTCCCAATTTTAAAACCACCGGTACTCCCTTCAATATAACTTAACCCATTTCTTTAATAATTTTCCACCCATTTTAAAAAAACCCCAACGAGGTTTTCCTTCCTACAATTTCTTTTAACCGTATTTTTCCCTATTATTTTTTAATTCCCATTTAAAACCCCAAAAACCGGGG